AATTTATTTCTTTTGAAATAAAGTACGAGAAAACATCATTAAATTTATTTTGATTCCATATTTTTTTATTGTGAATGTAGTTAATAGAAATTTCATGATTTTCTTCAGAGTCATGATGTTCAACACTGTTATCGACCTCATGGTTAATTTCTTTCAGCCTTTTTGTTATATTAGATGAATTTTGCTTTTTTCATCTCCTTTCGTTTTCTAGGATTTTTATCCTTAGAACCAACATTTCTACCACGCTTCAAGCGTATTTTTGACTTCCGTGTGTTATCATCTGCTCCACGTTCATGTGGCATTTATATACGAGCAGAAGCATTTGCAACGGGTATATGTGATTTTGTTACCGCTTTGGTGTCTACAAATGCATCAGGTAGTTGATTTTTTACAAATGCATAATTCGACGGATTTCTAATTCTGATTATTTTGTTGGAGGATCAAGGTGTAGAAGAGATGACACACACCGTTTTATCTATTTTTCTACTTGCTTATTTTCTCCCCCTAGAACTGGTAATACTTTTTCATTAAAGTGACAATCAGCAAAACGTGCAGCAATACATCACCAATTTGTGGTTCTAGGTAGCGTATAATTGATGGAGAAATTGGCACATATACATCACAACAAAAAACCCTTAGATGAGAAATATTTGGCTATTTTCCAAATGCTAACTATATTGGTGAATATTTGTGATATGCACTTGGTCTCACCCGAATCAGTGATTCTTCATGCAAAATAGCATGTTCTCACACAGAGCCTGGGAGTTTAGACCTCATGATTAATGGTCTTGCAATCAGTTGCAAACATTTAATTAATGTTCAGCCAAGCTATTTTGTGAATGAACATGAGCAACATGATGTTCCACATCAATTCCAGTTACCATACAATAATAATTGAATGCTTGGGAAGTAAACTCACCAGTGTTATCTAGTCTGACTCTCTTTAATGGATAATCACGAAACTGAGCTCTTAGTTTGATTCTTTGAGATAAAAATCTCACAAATGCCATATTTCGAGAGGATAATAGACAAACGTGGGGAAGTAAACTCACCAGCGTTATCTAGTCTGGCTTTCTTTATTGGATAATCAAGAAACTGAGCTCTTAGTTTGGTTATTTGAGATAAAAAAAAAATCTTGCAAATGCCATATTTCAAGAGGACAATAGAAAAACGTGGGACCATCTACTCGACGTGTCGATCATTACCATAAAATAATATAATGGTCTACAAGGTGGATATATAGGTCCACAAAATATCGCATTGAATTCCTTTAAGGAACTTTGGTAACTCTTTATCTATTTTGGTTGGCGATGGTTTTATAATCAATTTTCCTAAAGAACACGCAATACATGTTATTTCATTCCCTTGGTAAACTTATTGCGGTTTCAGTGAATGACCATGTGAGTTCACGATGATTTTTCGCATCATTGTGTTGCGTGGGTGACCAAGACGATCATGCCATAGTGTAAACGTGTCAGAATTTCTTTTAATCACCAAATGTGATTCGATGGCACTTATATATGTTTGATGTAGACCAGAAGGGAGTTTTGGTAGTTTTTCCAATACCTTTTGCTTTCCCGATTTATTAAGAGTAATATACATATATTTCTTTCTATTCTTAGTTTCAGAATGAATATCAAATCCTTGAAAATATATGTCATTAAAACTCAACAAATTCCTCTTAGAATTTGGAGAAAATAGTACATGATTTATCGAGAAATTGGTTTACCAATCCGTTCAATCTAGTCTACATGACCCGATATTGTATTAACTGTGATATTTGTTGTTTTAAGTTCAGAAAAAAATATTTTATGTGTTTAAGAATAGTGTGTTTTGTTCCACTATCTGATATACAAATATCTAGCATTGATCTTGGTTGATGCTTCATTTGTAATGTCCATTTCTGAGACAAACCAAAGAATTAACAGATATAAGATAATCTTATTTATAAAATATTATACATCATTACAAAAAATCGAACACGCAGTAATTCTACATAAGCATATGAAAATCACATAATAATTAAACATTATTCTTCCATAAATAACATTATTTATGGCATAATTATGGAACTTCAAGAGTCACATGATGGGTATTTAACCTTCCGTGATAGCGGTCTCCTAGAAATCATTCACAAAGTCAGACGCATCTAGGTGTGTTGTACCTTCAGAATGTTCTGCAAAGTTAACCTCTTTGCCTTTTCCTTTGACTAAATCTTTGTATAGAGCACACAGATGTGCAGTGGTACAACATACACGGGACCAGTGTCCCTTAGTACCGCATCTGAAACAAGTTTCTTCTCGTTTCTTGGAAGTATTTCCTTGGTGTTCTTTTCCCTTAGAGGACTGCTCAGAGTGAACCCATTGGATTGACTATTTATCATGTGGATTGTACTTTCGTCCACGTCCACGGTAGTTTTGACGACCACGAAAAGCCTTATTTTGTTTCACTGGTTTCTTTGCATCTAATGCATTTGCTTCCGAAGCGCTTTAGAACTAGTTGGACGTGTCATGTGATTCTTGATCAAAAGCTCATTGTTCTTTTCTGCTATGAGAAGCGCCATAATCAAATCTAAGAATTTGGTATATCCCCACAACATGTACTATTGTTGCAGGGTGATATAGCTTTTGTGAAATGTGGTGTATGTCGTTTCAATCATTTGAGACTCTATGATCGTTTCACCACAATATATCAGTTTGTCCACAATTCCTAACATACCAGAATTGTAATTCATCACTTTGTCGAAATCTTAAAATCTCAGACTTTGCCATTCATCCCGAGCTAGTGGAAGTGTTATGTCTTTCTGATGCAAAATGATCTTTCCGAGACTTCCATAGCTCTTTAGGATCTCTCATGTTGGCATGGTCATAAATAATACCCTCATCAAGGTGTCTTCTAAGGAAGATCAGCGATTTACCCTTTTCTTGAGGCGTTAATGTATTATTTTCTTTAACGGTTTCAGATAAACAGAGGGATTTAAGATGAAGTTCGACATTGGTGACCCAAGAAATGTAATTGGTACCGGTGATGTCTAGATCGGGAAATTGGAGCTTCTCGATGTTTGCCATTTCAAAAATCAGATAATAGTAAAGAACTTAATTAGAAATATTATTTTATTAAAATAATCGAGGTGTTGGGATAAGTAGTGCAATTACAAGGAATACAAATACATAAAATCAATGGAGACAAACACATTTTCTTCGGGATAGAACTTTCCAACAAGTAAACCGTAGAAAGCAATTAAGAAAAAAAAAATTACAAAAACTAACAACAGATTAAACATTTTTCTAAAGAAAATTTAAGATTTTGTTTAATAGGATTTTGGATAGGTGTGAAATGAAATGAATGAGTTGTAACTGTATTTATAGATTTTAAGAACGTTGTTCATTAGCCATTAACTAGCGGTTTGAAAAGTAATTAATTAATCATTATTTTAATATATATATATATATGACCGTTAGAAGTAAAAACATAATATAAAAATTAGTCTAAAAATTATTAGAAAGAAATTAAATTTTATTACTTTTAAACAAAAAGTTTAAATATAGATTCTTTCTTAACATATACTTAATTATAAATGGTGATATAATTAACCAATTCATATTTAAAAATAAATAAATTAAGGTGATAAATCAATCATGACCCAAGTAGTAAATTGTGATTATAAAGTAATCTATCATAAAATAATAAATCAAATGTTTAGGCGGTTAATCAGCCATTATGGTACTTTAAGCAACCATTGTAAAATTAATACTAAAGACGGGGCGGCATGACCGCACTCTGGTAATAGTAAAAATAACGAATAAATAATGGGGCGACAGTGCCGCACGCTGATAACTATAAACGTAAAATTAAATGGAGACCCCACTCTAAACATAAATCAAAAGAATAAATTTAGTAGTAGAGTGATCATGCTGATAATATGTTATAATTTTATTAACGTGTTTAATTTATTTTACATTTTATATATACTTGTATTTGTTGTTCTACTAGTAATATATGTTACATATGTGTAAAAGAAACGAAGAAAAGAAGCATAGAAAACTATAAAGAAAGGAGGATGATATTATTAGTATTCAGAAGGGGCGACGTAAAATGAATGCATGACAACATCTTATATAGGAAGAAAATTCGACAAGTTTTACTGTAAAATATAAATGACATGGGATCCTCTTCAATTTTCATACGTTGTTCCTTGACTTTTGTAACAAATATTATGTATTGTGTCATATTTTGTTATTTGGATTAGGGTTTATATTTTTTTATATGGTTTAGTGATTAGTGTTTTGGATTTAGTTTTTGATACCAGTCTTCACTTTTTCCACCGTAACCACCACCACTTGTATATACTGTAAGTTTCCGGTTGTACTATTCTATTTGAATAATATGTACTATGTTATTTCGTTGTTACTATTTTATTTGGATCTACATATTCTGATATTTGGGTTAAGGTTTATATTTTTTTTAGGGTTTAGTGATTAGTGTTTTGGATTTAATTTGTCGTAGGTTTGGGTTGATATTGGGGTAAACATTAACTTATTCCCTGCAATCATAAATATTAAAAAATTAAACAATATGTATTATGCTATTTTGTTTGTTACTATTCTATTTTGATAATATTTAGTGATTAGTGTTTTGAATTAAATTTTTGAAAGATTCGAGTTGTAATTAAGTTCAATTTAACTAATTTTGAATATGTATAGTAATATAATATATTTAAATCATTTTCTAATTTTATTAACATAAACTATACCATTTTAGCATGGTATATTCTATTTATATATTATCATCATAATTAATGTGGATGTCATAACTACCACTATTCTAATAATATTTTTATTTAAATAACAAATATTTTTTGGACGTTTATTACCAGCAACTAGTTTAAAAAAAAAAGAGAACTGAAAAAAGAAGAAACAAAATGCTATGGGATTTAATAATGTCAAATCATATGCTATATTTTAAATTTTGTCTTCAAAATCGGCTACCTCACCAGTAAGCCCTTTATTAATTCGGTATCCTACAAAACATAAACATCATCAACGGCAGTGAAGCCATCAAACGCTGCCGTGTAGGAGGGTGGCGGTTGATGAATCAAACAGGCTCGCAAGTTTCCGCGTTGTTCTAGGCTGTCAAAAAATATGTCATCCACCTCTTTCTTTTTCTATAATTTATTTTATTTTAAAATTTCATAAATATTCAGACACTCTCTCTCTTGTCTCTCTCATATCTGAGTGGTACGCCATAGCTCGTCTTTTCTTTTCTTGTTTCAATCAGATCTCTTGGTCACTTGAAAAAGAATCATGGAGCTCAACTTCCTATCTAGAGCTCTGAGTTCTTTCATCCTTGTACTCACAATACTTGCATCCTTCTCATCCTCAAGTTTCATCACAGGTACACCTTTCCTTTATTCCTTTTTTTATTCCCCCCCCCCCAATAGAGACGTATTCTTCTTATGTTCTTTGGTTAGGTGAGTCATCTTTTATCTTTTTATTGCAGATGGTGTGCTGGAACCGCAGGATTTGGCTTTAGGAAGAAACCTACTCCAGACCAAGAAAAGCAAGTTCTTCTTCTAAATCTCATACCATCTCTCTCTCTCTCTCTCTCTTTCCTGTATTTATTGGAAGTATGAGGATCTTAGTAGGAGTTCTATATTTGGTTTGTTTCCCGATGTGTTCCAATAAATACAAACGGATCCATTTCCTGGATCTATATGCCAATCTATAAACTACACAGCTTCTCATTGACCAAATCTTGATACTCGCTGACCACTGATTGTTCTTTAAACCTCTACAAAAATGTTTCTATTCATCTTTCATCTCATCATGGCATTTAGTCTAAAATTGTTATGCATATAAACTGCTTATTACTAGCTAACTATTCTTTTCTCATTTTACTTCATGTGATATGCAGCTGAATTTGGAATGTTGTGTATTGACCAAGGTTTCTAATTTCTTTTTTTCATGGTAACAGCATGTCCAGTGAACTTTGAGTTCATGAACTACACAATCATAACAAGCCAATGCAAAGGTCCCAATTACCCAACCAAGGAATGCTGTGGCTCCTTCAAGGAATTTGCGTGTCCTTACACTGATCAACTCAACGATTTAAGCAATGACTGTGCAACCACTATGTTCAGCTACATCAATCTCTATGGTAAATACCCCCCTGGAATCTTCGCAAACCAGTGCAAAGAAGGTAAAGAAGGCCTCGAGTGCCCCGCTATGTCTCCCGGTTCAGCATCAGACGTAAACGCAGCTGCCGCTTCTTCTCGTCTTTGGCTGACCGTCTCCACAGCTTTATTCGTATTTGTTAAGTTGCTCTAAGGCCAAGCCAGTAATGTAACAAGCTGAGTGTCTGTATGTATATCCACGATTTGTTTTACTTGGTACTTTCTCATTCTTTTGATTTTTGAGGCTTCCAAAAAATTCTAAACTGATAATATGTATTTGACTTTTGTGTGTCTCGTTCACTTATATTAATCGACCATTGAGGTAAACACCGATTCCAAAGATCCTGAGTAGTAGTAATTAAGAGGATTGAAACAAGTTCTTCTTCCACATTCATCATGTGTATTCAAAAGTAACAACTTACATTATTTATAACATACTTTTGAGTAATTATGGTTTTTCTATGGCTTTGGAGTGCAATAAATAATGGACACTATAACACTATATACGTACATGTAAAGATGCTTAGAACTATTTGCAGGCAGCTGTAAACTGTCCACTCTCACTCACTAACCGAATAGCTCGGTCTTTGCAAAGGTAGGATAAGTAAGAAAACTAAAGAGATTTCACCACATTAGTCTTGACTTGCGACGGAACTGCTTTCTTGTGATGCACCAAGAACCAGGAAAGGTGCTTAACTGCACAATAGTAATTAACAAAATGGCGTTAAGGCTCAGAAGACGGAATATGTGTTCAGTATAGGAGTATGAAAATGGACTATATGCATCTTTAGTGTCAATCCCACAATGACTTCCCCAAAATGTACGCAATTAATGTGTATATAACATATCAGACTTACATTGCTGATAAGCTTTGCCCCTTGCCACGCTGTGTCCACGCCGCAAGGAGGAGGGATTACTCTGACTCCATTGCATATAGATGCGGGAAGATAGTCATGCAATTCTTTCTCTAGCCTTTCTGGATACATCTCACACACACAGAAAACCGCATAAGCATGTCAGTCATGTATCTTTTAGATAAAAAGTTCCAAAGATCTTTCAAGTTGCCTGTAAGAATTACTTGGTATATTTCGTGGCATTACAAACATTTGAACAAAACAAGAGGTAATATGGCCGCACCTGCAAGCCCTGGCAAACATGCGCTTCCTCCAGCCAATACTACAGTCTTGAACCAGCTACCATCACCTGTTAGTCCTGCTGCATCACAGTGGTCCATACAGAGTGCGACTGCATTGTGCAATCCCATTGCCCGCCTAGTTTATCAATGACAATAAACAATCAAAGAAACTATTTTAAAATGGTCAAAATTTGGAGATTCTTCAGAGGAACACTACCCAGACCTGGGATGCATGCAGCTTATCGCATTACAATATAGGAGTCATGTGGAAAACAGTGGAACTTACTAACAACTATCCACACTATACTGTATCGTCAGATAATAACATTTCTAGTTTCAGAACTAGTTCAAATCCCATCTCTTAGTGAAACTTTCAGGTTATATCTTTCTTAAACACTGTAAGGTAATAAGTAGTGCAGGCCTTACATTCCAGCAAGACGTGGTTGGAATAGTATCTCCCCTGTCTGAAAACGCTCCTTTGACAGAGTAAACCATCCTTCACCCGCAATTTCCACTGAAGCTTGTGTGTCTCTTGAAAGTTCAGCTTCATAATCGAGAGCGACATAACACAGGTTCTACGTTTGCATAAACACGAAAGCATCACGTAAATCAATATCCTTTTTAATGATATTTCAGTAACTATATATAACTGGATGAAGATCATGTCTATTATACAGTAACGCACAGGGGATGAATCTTACTTTGATTTACAAAAGAGACGATAACGATGTAGTTATTTTTGCTACCAGGAACAGGATGATCAATGGTAATACCTCTTTTAGAGTACGAACAGTGTAGAGCGATTGGAAGGTAATGTTGTTCTCTTGCATCTTCTCTTTAAGGAAACCCGTGAGTTTCAATGCTCCAAAACCAATGACTTCTACACCTACCTGCCGCATCACCTTCCCATGCAAAACTGCAGAACACCCACTAAAATTAAAATGCGAAGACACCAGTGAATGAATGGTGCAGAGAGAATTAGAGGCGGATGTTTCCGACAATATGAAATATTCACATATTCATCTTTTTGATACAACTAGTCGACTTCAGTGCCATGTCACTAAAAATCAACTGAGAGGACACAAAAAAGGGTTGAGTCAAAGAGAGAGAGAGAGAAGCAGTTTACTTGGAACAATGGTTATGACTTGGAAACCAATGTTAACAACAATTCCAGATGTCTGCCTTGCAGCATATAGAGCTAAAACAGCCTGAAAATACAGTACATATAATTCATAGTCGGCCTATGACTGTATCATCAACAAGACCATTCATTTGACAAGAAATGCATAATACTATCTCCAGCTACTGGTCTGATTAGGCATCAAATTCTGGAAAACTGAATTCAGTTTCTCGCCAATACTTTCTATTAGTTTTAAACCGTGGAAAGTGTGGGTACAGAGATAGAGAATAAATCTATCTCCGAATCATTAGAAAGCACTTAAAAGGGTGAAAAAAGGCTCACCTGACTAACTGCACACACTGCAGGCACATTCATGTCAAACAAGACATTAAGGATAGCAGTCTTAAGTTGCCGCCTGGATGCCTTTGCCGATTCAGTATCTGAAAACAATTTTTTTTAAAACCGCAAACTGGAACCACGATATGTAACCTTGAAGATAAAAATATAACAAAAGATGAAGCTAACCATCAAAATGGCAGAGGGGTAGTGAAACCACTATTGGCTGCATAGATGGCTTAACCTGCATCCTGTAAGAAAAACATCACATAAGAAACTCAAATACGGTTTAGTGGAGAAAGTCAAAGCCGTGGATACAATCTAAAACCATTTAGCTGCCACAAATATGACAAAACAAACCTGTTGAAAATGGTTACAAAGAACTGTTGAAGCCTAGCGTATATGGGTGACTCAATGTTGCCAAATTCCTGGCGGTAAAACTAGTAAGAACCACGCTTATTATATCTGTAGTAAATAAAATAGCGAAATTGCCTTCAGCACCAAAGAGGTATCTCACCAGAAAAGTAGCAGAACGTCCAAAAGGTGAAGCATTCTTACTCCTCCCAAATTTGCAATACCCAGAACCACCTTCACAGGCAAAGCAAATCCCATTCACAAAAAATGAAAAAAATTCTTAAACACAACAAACATGAGAGAAGAAAACATATACCATCAATAATGATAGAGTCAGGAACTTGAGCTCTTTGACCATAAACACGCATGAACGACAACTCCTCTGATTCACTAGAAACCATTCTGCAAAAATAAGCTAAACCCTTGAAACTGTCTAACAATCAATTTAAATGTTCAATATTTTTCTTAATCAATTTGGAAGCCGAATAATCTATTAAGGATTAAAGGTTTAATGTTACATTCATTTTTTTTCTTAATTAATTTTGGAAACCAAATGATCTATGATAATTTATAAGATTTAAAACAATTACAGATTATGTTTCAATACATATATGTTTTATGAATTAATTTTGGGGTTGTTTAACTAACATATTAACCACAAAAGGTTCCGGACCAAAGTGAATGTTTCATTTGGCTATGATCAGGACCGGCTTTGCAACTACACATTTGATATGTTTGTAAACTCACCGGAGCGGATAACCACAACGCAAACTTGTTTCCGCGAAGAAAATGGAGTCCCATGACTCCTGCATACACTGGAGATAGAACATCCACAGACTGTTACCCTCTGCTAAGCGTTTCAAGGCTTTGCACGCTAAGCTCAATTTCACGGCGTCTCTTGGCTCTATCAGCATCACTATCTGGACTAGTATATCCATCGGTAGCTGATCAAACGCGCCCATAGAGGACGAAGACGACGACAGAGGAACCTGAATTGCCTTCGTCGAATCCTTGCAACTATTCGATCGGTTCCACACTGATCCCCATACTTTCCTTAGATTCATCCTCGAATTTCACAGAAGCTCTATCTCTCTCTCTATATCTCTCTCTATATATATCTATCTTTGTGTAACTGACGCTGTTTTCTTGAATTTTGCTCGAGAAGATGAACCAGGAAAATTAGTAACACATGGCGGTTTCTGAGAAGAAACTGACTGACGTGGGATGTTTAAGATAGTGACACGTGTTTGGAGTCGGGGGTAAGGATTTTGTCAACTCAACACGCGCGGAGTTTTGATGAGAGTAGAGAGTGGTGCTTCTTCACTCACCGACTCAAATGTCAATCATCGTATTATTTTCTGAGCCTAGTCAGGAAAAGATCCAAGTGGTCAGGAATCACGTGTTTCCAGTTTATCTTTGTCTGATTTTACCACAATTATTTAAGAAAACACTTTAGATACTTAGTTTTTTTTTTCTATCTGAGGGGTGTACATTTTTATATATACTCATATTTTTTGTTCAAAGTAGATTTTTTTATCTTTTATGTTTCGCAAATTTTGGTTGAGGATTTTTGGATAAGCAGAATATAGTCGACTTACTTTGATTATCAACTACTGAAGATTTGAAGTACATGATTCTCAAATGAAAAGTGTTAATTATTATCTAATAAATAAAATGGTAATTCTCTCAAATATACTTTTTATTTTTTTCACAAAAATAGATCATAAAACTAAAATATCAAAATAATATTTTTATTTTAAAAAGTTTAAATTTTAAAAATTTGTTTTTTTGTAAATTTATTTCTAAAAGCTACAATCCTCGACTCTAAATAAAAAATCTTAAAATTAGTTAACATTTGGATATAAATGTATATTTACTTATTTTTGATAAAATATTTAAGTTTATTTTGGTCATTTTTATTTTTAAGTCTATATTTATAATAAAAGAAAATGGGTTTATCTTAGAGAATTTTTTTTAAATAAAAATCATAACTATTTAACAATTTCACTCCTATTTTTATGTTTGCAAAATGTTACCAAGGAATTTCTCTTTTTTATAAAAAAAATGAGAAAAAATAAATACTGGTTTAAAAATGAAAGAATCGATATAACCGACAGGTGTCTATATATAATTGGAACCGAATTTCTGATGTGGAAGCAAAATAATGAACCAGCTTTTTAATATTTGGAAGTATATATCAGAATTTGAGTTTGAGGAAGGGGTCTCTGTATATAATAAATTCGATACTCATCAGATCCTGTGAAAACCTAATTGGCGTCAATCCTCAACCTGTGTTTTCAGATTGGGTATCCGATTTTTTCTCCCTTTTTACTTAATTCATTTCTTTTCGAAATTAGGCTTCTCTCGGATGATCTAATCGAATCAGTATCTCTCGTTGGTGTTTTGAGTTATTTATACACATAGGGTTTTAAAGAGTATTGATCGCTTGTTCCGGTTGTTAGGGTTTATCTGCTTGTTCGTTCCTGTTACCTTGCAATTTCAATTGAATTTTCCGGGGTAATTCAGTTCTTAATTTGTAATTTGGAAGTTTATTAAATTTGGTCACAAGAGTTTGAAATTTTTATATATAAATTGTGTGAAATGATCTGTTTGATATTCTTCAATTACGAAATTGAATTTTACTATTGATTGCAGGTTTGAAACTGGTTTTGTGATCTGAGGTCAAATTATGGCTGACTTTGGTTTGTTCTCTTTCCCCTCTGTGATTTTTTTCACTTGTTTTGAATCTCCCCAAAGTCTGATTTCAATGTTGATGATGAACCTGAAGATGAATATATGGCTGATGAGTACGACATGGATATTCTTGAGGATGATATGAATCCTGATTTTGATGGAATTGATATCGGTGTTGAAGATTTCGACCAATTGGTTTGTCTTTTGATCCTTGATTTATTTTTTCTATCTTTTGTTTTTGTATTATATTCATATCACTCAGTTTACTCTATATCAGACCAAGGCGGAAGATACCTCTGCTGCTCAAGCTCGGGACGGGAAGGACATTCAGGGTATTCCCTGGGAGAGACTTAGCGTGACTAGAAATAAGTACAGAAAAACTAGGCTTGATCAGTATAAGAACTATGAGAATATCCCTGATTCGGGTGAGGCAGCTGCCAAGGTAAGTTACATTTCATGATTCTCTAAGTTTATCTACTAGTAGTTAGTTAACACTTATCTTGTTCTTTCCTTGGAACCAGAACTGCACGGATACTGAGAAAGGCAACTCGTTCTATACGTTCAGGAAGAATTCTAGATCAGTGAGATCAACGATTCTTCATTTCCAGGTTTGTTAACTGCGCACCATTACACTCTGTCTCTGTTATTTTTCCAACAACGTCGTTCTTTGTTTGAAGTATGCAAATGTCTTTGTTCTAGTGTTGCTGAGTGAACCATAGTTTTTTCATAGAAAGCTGATTATAGTTAGGCTAAATCATTTCTCTTCTTTGTTGCAGTTGAGGAATTTGGTCTGGGCTACGTCGAAACATGATGTTTACCTCTTGTCAAACTACTGTATCAGCCACTGGTCTTCTTTGACAGGTTCCAGGAACGAAATTCTCAACGTTAAGGGTCATGTTGCTCCCTCGGAGGTTTGTCTTTCAAACCCATGTTTGGGATTTATTTGAGTAGGAATTTTTTACTTTCTCTGTTTGGTTTATCTAAAGCCGGTATGCCGTATTTTCAGAACCATCCTGAGAGTTTGATGGAAGGATTTACAGAGACTCAAGTTAGCACTCTTGCAGTAAAAGAAGGGTTGCTAGTTGCTGGTGGGTTTCAAGGAGAACTCATTTGCAAGGTTAGTTTAAAATGTTTTGAATGAGATATAAAGGATAATAGCAACCCCCATGGTGTTTCCGCTAACTGCTTTCAAGTCTCTTGTCATTATTGATGTAACATGCCCAAGAAGTTACTTATTCATGTTTTTAATTTGTTTCCCCTATAACCAGCATCTTGATAGACCTGGTGTGAGCTTCTGCTCACGTACAACTTACATCGAAAACGCTATCACCAACGCTGTAGATATATACAGAAACTCCAGGTGCCCCTTCGCCTTTCATATTTTGTTTTGGTGGTTTTGAATTTCGACAGAGTTAGACAATTGGACAAGCAGAAACTAAAACTTAGTTATATGGTCTTATTAGCGGCGCACTGCGTTTCATGGCCTCAAATAATGACTGTGGAGTCAGAGACTTTGACATGGAGAGATATAAGCTTGTCCAACTCTTCCGTTATCCATGGCCTGTCAACGTAAGCTCACTGAATCTTCCTCATTATCTCGGTTGATAACTATACCTCGATCTTATACTTTTTGAAAATTTTACCAGCATAGCTCCCTAAGTCCCGATGGAAAACTAGTAGCAGTCGTTGGAGATGACCCAGATGGTCGATTAGTAGACTCAAGCAACGGAAAGGTACTTAGCGTTCTTCTTCTTCCCGGTACTGTCTATCTAACTCCGGTTAGTCCTTGTAGAGCTTTACGGTTTTGATTTCGTTTGCAGACGATTGGGACAATGAAAGGTCACGTAGATTATTCATTTGCATCCGCTTGGCATCCCAACGGTGTGACATTTGCCACAGGAAACCAAGACAAGACCTGTCGTGTTTGGGACACAAGGAATCTCTCAGAATCAGTTGCTGTGCTTAAAGGCAACCTTGGATCGGTCCGGTCCATTAGGTTCACTTCGGACGGACGGTACATTGCGATGGCCGAACCAGCAGATTTTGTGCATATCTATGATACAACAGCAGGTTACAAAAAGGAGCAAGAGATTGATTTCTTTGGAGAGATATCTGGGATTTCGTTTAGCCCAGACACTGAATCTCTCTTCATCGGTGTTTGGGACCGGACTTATGGAAGTCTCTTGGAGTACGGTCGAACCAGAGACTACTCTTATCTTGATTCATTACTTTGATAAAAAGAAAATAAGAGGATTTAAAATAAAGTGGAGTTTGCATAAATAACCTGTAATATACCGTTTTGGTTAGTTAACTTAGGTTTTATAATAATCTCATATCGACAAAAAGGGTGGAGATAGACCGTGGTTCGATGCAAGACAGAAGCTGTTCTGTTGTATAATTTGATTTGTTGTGCTTTTGCTTTTGGAATGTACATTTTCCAGACACTTTGGAAATTGCATCGGGATCGTAAGTCAACTCAGTCTCACTCTTTGAAGATCTTCTAGATTTTGTTTGATCAGATTTTTTAAAGATTTTATACCCAAAAGGTCACAGATTTGGTTTTCTATATATGGCCCATAATTTATGGGGGAATTGAGTATGGATTTTATATTATTTTTACGTTTTTCTGTGAAGAAATATCTGTTTCTTCAGAACTTTTAGATTTAATTTGGTTTTTAGTCTTTTCCGTGTAAACAAATTATAATGGAACTAACATTACCTTCGTGGTATGATTACACTGATTCAACAATTTGTTAAGCCTTCACTGTGAAGAAGATTTTTTAACTTATTGATCACCATGTTTTAATTAGACTTTAATTGTAGCCTGAATGACTTGGGGCTGGCCCTCCACTACTAAGTTTTCGGCCACTAATTCCTCAACTCTAAATCTTATGCACGTAATCCTAGTCCTAGTCTGTCATTACATATTGGTAAATGTCTAAATGAATACAAGAACTTACTTCAGTGACCAGTAAAGCTTCAACTTTAAAATAAAATCATGATAAAAGATAAATAAATTATTGAAAAAGTGAACATGAAATTATCAGATGAAGTTTTGTATAAAATAAAATAAATAACAGAATTAATCTAGACAGTGAATGAAGGTACATAAATGTTGCAGGACTGAATAAATACTTAGCTTTGGCCTTTGGCCTTTGGCCTTTGGGAGTGTGATCTAGTTATATACTAAATTCTGATTAAGAAATACCAAAAATCTTACCTTCTAATGTTATATGAAAATATTTTATCTTGATATGTGTCCATTAGTTATAAAACTTTAACATGTGTTTATAGAAAAAAATCATTAAAATACTGATTAATTAATTGGATGAAATTGTTGGATATAATTAAAATGGTAAAATCATAAAAGTAAAAAAAAAATAATAATTGAAAAATGGTTAAAGAAAAATATATGAAATACTATTTTCTATATTTTAGTTTTGGAAGTGTGTTCTCTTTGTAAAAAGAACAAGTAGTATGTGCCAACATCATAATTAAAAAAAATTTGTCAATAGAGATTTTTTTATTATTATTTAATTCTACATATTTTGCATAGAATAAAAAGTAAGAAACTGTATTTTATGTTGTAACATTTAATGAGAAAATTTAATAATTTGCATGATAATTTTTTAATATGTACTTGGATTACCATTAATAAAAGAAGAAAGATTACTTTGTATATAAATATATAATTTGGATTAAATTTCATAAATTTGAGATGATCTAGAATTGTTTAATTTGGCTAAATCACAACAACTTAAAAGTCAAAGCATATTTAAAATCTGCATGAATCTTTATTGCTAAGAATTGTTTTTGTTTTATCCAAAAAAAATCATATCAAAATTGAATATGCTTTCGAAAATAAAAAAAAATGATAAACTTGGACTTTTAAGAAGTGAGCCATCAAGATTGCTGAAATAAGTGAGACCAAAAATATTAAGAACCCTAATTTATGAATACTTTATTATTAGTTCATGTCTTTCTTATTTGTTTCCCCTCTTTTTTTTCCTTGTCTTGATAAAAAAACCTTTGAAATCCCAATCAAAGATTTTCTTAAGTCAGAGATATGTCAAATTTGAAAATAAAATAAATGAAAATCCAAATAAAATCTTGATTTAATTGCCATAAATAGCAATGCCCACGAAAAAAATAAATGGAAAATAGCCACCTATTACTATTCCTTTATTCCTAAATGCACGACTGATTACTCCGTGTTTGGTTCCAAACCAAAAACGTGAACTCAACTTTATGCTTAAACACACATGACATCAACTTTATGCTTAAATACACATAAAAACCAAGCCTTCAGTCAAAAAAAAAAAACACACACACATAAAACCACGTTCAGCGTTTGGTAAACTAGGAAACTAAATCAAGGCATAGATATACCTTTGGATATAACCAAAAAAAATATATGGTAATATTAAATAAAAATATGTAAAATTAACATAGACAAAATAATAGTCTTTGTATTTACTAGTCAAAGAGATTTGAGTTTCTGTATATATATACAGTCAAACACGACCTAGTAAGGTTAAAGGCATATATATCTTTGATGGTTTGGTAAGTGAAAAGTGCTACAAAGACTATAGATATTATACCCAACTATAGCATTTAATTAAAACTTAAATAAAAAAACTATTTCTATATTATATTAATAAAATAAATAGAGACTATTCATCCAACGTGAGGCACAATACAGGCTCTTCTTCCTCACTCTTGTGCTATAGCGTCTTCTTATTTTTTTTCCTCTCTATTGCCTCTTCTCCCATCTTCACCTTCTTCTTCTACAACTCCTTCTCTTCTTGTCTTTTACTCGATTTTCATATCTGTGAGAATTTGTTGAGGTGTGTGAGATTTTCTTCTTCACTAAGTTAGGGAGCCCTAATTTATCAGCTGGTGAGATCTTTCAGCTTTGTGTTGATTCAAACCAGCAAAAATGGATCAGTTACGTGGCTACAAATCAAACTGTAGATTCTCACTTGGGAGACCCAAGTTTGGATCTATCAAGTTTAAAATTCCAAACTCATCATCACAACCTTTCATTTCTGAACAAAGAAAAGAGATGGAAGAAGAAGGTCCAGCTGAAGAAGAAGAAGCTAAGAGTATTAGTTTCAGGGAAGATGAGGGTGATGACGATGGGGCTAAGAGTATTAATCTAGAAGGAGAAGAAGAGAAGAAGCATATATGTAGTGAATGTGGTAAACGTTTCAAGTCAGGTAAGGCGTTGGGTGGTCATAAAAGGATCCATGTGCTGGAAGCTCGGAAATTCTCAATGGTGAGACCGAAGATGGTGGTGTCTGGTGGTGAGGTTGGTAGATCTGAGACTTCAGAGAGAGATGATTTCGAAGTTGATTGTTGTGTTTGTCATAAGAAGTTTACATCCATGAAGGCTTTGTATGGACACATGAGGTTTCATCCAGACAGAGGATGGAAAGGTGTTTTGCCTCCTCATCATCATCATCCACTTGGTGATGATCATGATGGTGAGTTTATAAGCTCTGATTATGATGATGATGATGATGATTATGAGGAGGAGGAGGATGAGAACTTGGAGTTATGGGATAATCATTGGGAACTGGGAAACGTGGTTGACCTTAAGGACTCGATCAAAGAAGGATGGGCGGCGACAGGGAAGAGAGGAAGGAGAAGTGCTTTGAAGGATCCTCCACCTTCAGAAGAAGAAGATAATATTGATGCTAAGGATCTATTGTTCTTAGCTACTACAGCTGAAGCTGTTGATCTCGATGCTGCAGAGGCTAGTGATTCGCGTTCCGTGGAAGAGATGATGAAGAAGAGGAGAAAGAAGAAGAAAAGATTGTCTGAGATGGAGAAAGAGTCATCACCAAGTCATGATCATCATCATCAGCTCGAGGTTGGTGTTGCTTCTGCTGCTGCTGCTGAGGTAAGTGGTGGTGGTGCACGTGAGAAGCACGTGTGTGTGACTTGCAACAAGTCGTTTGCTTCTTATCAAGCTTTAGGAGGTCATAGAGCGAGTCACAACAAGGTCAAGATTTCGGAGAATCATCAAGCTAGGGCAAACGGTGAAGCTTTGTTACTTGGAACCGAAGCAATGGTAACCGGTTTAGCTAGTGCTCAAGGACCAAGCACTTCTTTGAGCATTAGCAGTAAGGGAGATCATGTTTGTAACATTTGTCAGAAAAGTTTCGCAACAGGTCAAGCTCTTGGAGGTCACAAGAGATGCCACTGGCCTGGACCAGCTTCTAATGAGGCTGCAACCGCTCCTGCACCAGTTTCTAGTGAGTTTGCAACCGCCGCTTCAACCTCTCTAGTAGCAGGCTCTTCTAGTCAAGTAACAGAGACAGTGGAAGAGGTGAAGAAATTGAAGAGAAAGTTTCTAGAGTTTGACTTGAATGAGTTGCCACCTAACGAAGAGTAAGGAGTGCAAGAAACGTATATATGCAGACAAGTAAGCTTTTTAATATTATAATCTCCAAACAAACAAAAAAAGTAGAAGGAAAAAAGAATCTGAATTTAGGGACTCATGGTAAAAAAAAAAGAGTTGTTGACATTGTAATCAAAGAAAAGAGAGAAAGATACTTTTGGTTCTTGGCTCTTTGAGATTCTTGGTGTTTGGCTTTTTAATCTAATTTTGTGGGGTCTCTTGTTATTTTGATGTGAGGATATACATACTCTTTTGTATTCTTCTCTCAATCTTTGATTTTTCTTTCTTTTCTTTTTTCATTATGCTTTTGGGTTCACATAAAGCATGATGGTTTCAATTGACCAAAGTTCCATAAAGTATAACTATCTCATTCATCTCACTATCTTATCTTTCTTTTTTCTTCATTTCAAACAAATGGTTTCTCCATAACTATACTGGATAATCAGTTTTTTTTTGTGTGTGTGTGTTTGACGAATTGATGATGATTAATAGTATAACTTGTTGCAGTTTAACCGGAATACTGAACTATAAACAAACAAAACTGACATTTTCATAATCTATATTTGTTAGAATTGTGAATGGATCTCTGTGTAATATTCCACATGGCTCAAGTTGCATATTAGAAAAGTTTCAACATACTGTGGTATTTTATTTTGTTTTCTTTACAATATCTTAGCATATATGACATACTGCAAATTAGTTTTGAAACACATCAACAGTTGAGGTAGATATAAACAAAAAAAGAATGAAATCTCTATATATTAATGTAATATTTTGTATTAAGAAAGAATCTAAAACAATCTCTCTCTCTTTACCAAACTTGTAAACAATTTGGAGGTTTACAAATCCAGAGATCATTAGTAAGACACCTAACGACTCTGCATGAATCATATCTAGTAATTATATATATAAAACAAAGTTTTCTCTTTTATTCATTGTTTGCTTGGCCTAGAACTCTTCGAGACGTGGGTGCATTGTTAATTTTATGTATTTAAGTGTTGGAACAAACCAACATTAAGATGGCTGTTTATAGTCAATTGTCAAAGTCACCACTTGCCGCTAATGACATAAGACTAATTCTTTAGTGTCATCAGAAACACCACAAAATATTCTCACAACTAAATTGAATTTGTCTTTTTATATATTCTTAAGAGCTAAGATATTTTTACTTTTATTTTGGCCAGGAGCCAAGATTTTCATATTAAGTTTCCACTTTTTCGCATCCAACTAAATAATAATGAGAGTAAAATTATTCTAAAATACATTTCAATTTCAAACTTTAATCCAAAGCAGTAATCACCCTTTGACTTGCTTCTTAAACCAACCGTATGGAGTAGAAACCAAATCTTGGTTTCTCTTTTTAGAATATAAAGATCAATGTGAATATGAAGTTTTCACTTGTGACATATATCTTATCTTCTGCTTCTTATTTCATAAAGAATTTACTGAAAATGATGGCAAAGTTGACAAAAAGGCAAACAAAATATTTAACATACACACTAACGTCGAGAAAAGGACATACTTCAACCCCAATAGTTTCAATGGTGTCTAATAAAACCCAAACAAATTGTTAATGTTAAAAACAATTTTAATTCAATTATATTTTTTTAAATACTTGATTTTTTAAAAATATGCACCTAATCTACATTGATCATAACGGAATTTAATCAACCGTTAAAAAATAAAATGATAATATTTGATTTTTTTTTAAATGTCCCTCTAGGATTTAAACCCATACCTTGATTCCATTTAAAAAGGGTACATTAACCACTAGACTAAAATGATTTTTAGAAATATTACCAAAATTTTGAAATTATGTGCTATTATACTTCTTCATCTTCTCCAGTTAAAGTTTTGGTAATGATTGTTTCCAATTTATGTAAATACATTAACATGTTTCCTAACTATCATATCTTCAATAAACTTATATTATACTAAAAATATATACTAATAATATATTAATAATTATACAAAATGAATATACTTAAAATTTTACCAATTTGTATTTTTTCTTAAATAACTTAGTTTTAAAACTAAATGACAATTTTCTTATTTTTTCAAAACTAATATGATATATTTGTGATATTTTGTTCAAAGTGTTGGTTGTGTTAAGTGGCCTTTTACCTTTTATTCACTGAGATATTTTGTTCAAAAATATTAGACATATTAAACAATAACTAATATATATAAATAAACATAAGATATGTAGTATATGTTGATAAAAAAATATATGTAGTATATTATATTAATTTTGACAAATAAAAGAAATTACCATTCAAGTGTTAAAGTTTTATAATAATCTATATATGAAAATTTTACAAATAGCTTAAAAATATGAAGAATATTTAGTTTTATCTAATTAGAAATATTATGAGTATAATATAAGTTTATTAAACATATAATAATTATAAATATGTCAATGTAGTAATAAGAATCAGAAATAAGTATATCTAAAGTTTTAATTGGAGAAGATGAAGAATTATAGTAGTATATATAATTTTAAATTTGTAGTAATATTTCAGAAAGTTATTTTAGTGGTTAAATGTCGGTTTTAAAAGGTATCAAAGAACAAATTCGAGTCTCAGAATGAATGATTTTTCTTAATAAACAATGAAATAAAAAGATTGTCGTTTTATCATTTTTAACGGTTGACTAATTTCTGTTATAGTCAGTGTAGATTTAGATATGTTTGATAATTTTTTGAATTGTAATTGACAAAGAAATTAATACTGATAGTTTGTTCGGATTATATTTTACACAATTGAAATTATTGATTTGAAATAGGCAATTACCTCTAACGTCATGCCAATGCAGCAACACACATAAAAACAAAAGAAGGCAGAAAAGAAGAATTGGTCAATATATAATTAAAGGAAAAAAGTGACAAAGAAATCAATAAATAAACACACATATTTACAATCAAAATACATCATGTGGGAACAACGGTCACCGACTCTGGCATGAACTGAATATTAAACAGCATAAACAGCAAGCCTAACTGTAGAAGAAGACATGAAGTGGTCTTAACTACTCTCTTCTTGAAACTCTTCACTTCTTGGATCTCTGTGATGTCTACGCAATGGTTTTGTAAATCTTGAGCTTGATTCTTTAGATTCTCAGCTTTGGTTCTTGCTTCTTCAAGCTTTGACAAAGTCTTATGAGCTTCTTGCCAATGCCTTCTCTTCTTCAATTAGTTTGATCTTTCTTTTTAGGCTCTCCACTGATCTTGAGAATGTAAGATGTTCAATCTCTGCCTTTATCTTTTGCTGGAAAATGTCTTCCATCTCTGCTATTCCTCGCTCTGAAAAACTTATGGTGGATTCGAGTTGACGGATTTGTGATTCTTTAACATGGAGAGTACGCTTTGTTTCTTCTAGTTTGATCTCCAGATGCTCTACATTCTTAACAAGGTTTAGTACCTCGGAATCTAGTGAAGTTAATCTCTTCTGGTATCGTTGGTTCAATGTTTCGAGTGGGAGAGAGTTGGACATGTGTAAAACTCGTCTCAACGATTCCATTTGAGTTTGAATCTCTAATGTTTTCATTTTTATTCGAAACTTTATATGCATCCTTAACATATACTAGATCATAACCCGCCCGACTGGACGGGTCTTTGTTTTATGGTATATATAAATATTTTAAAAATTACAATTTTACGGTTCCAATTTTACTAAATAATACTATACTGTTTAAATATTGTATTTTATCATTGTATTGTGTAACATGACGTCGGTAAAATGTTATGACCTGTAAATATTTTAGTAATATTTTATAAAGTTTTTTTTTTACTAAATTTAGTGCAAAGTTATATACACTAAAAACTTTAGTCAAATTTTTAAGTTCATTTTTAATGAAGAATTGGAAGGCTATTATATTACTGTTAAAAACTTATAAGAATAGTCAATATAAATTATATAAATAAAATATAGATTATTATTGATTTATTCCAAATATATTTAAAACACGAGTACATATATGTATAAATAATTTTTAGAAATAAAGTAGTAATATCAATGATAGAAAACTCAAAAACAATAATAATGGTACTTTGGGCCGCAGTAGTTTTTAGTTTAATAAGTAAGCCTATTAGATTTGTAGGTTATCATTGTTTCCAATCATCATAATTTTAAATAATTCATATTCATGTTTCCAAACACTTAAATTTTTGTACTTCAGCTTTAATAGTATAGATACATCATCCTTTAATTTCTGGTGCACTTGTTTTTATTTATTATTATTATTACTAGACAATATAATGTTCTCTATTTTATGTCGGATGGTGGGCGTGTGGTATAAATAGACTAAAAGAAGCAGAACTACATAGTTCATAAGACTTTATAATATCACAGAAAATATACATAAACATACTTTAAACATGCCATAAAGTCACTCACAGAGTGACACAGACTTATTGAATGTAAATAAACACACAAAAGTACTTAAGAGTTTTGGTAGATTAACATTCGAAGTAGCAGATACACCTGTGAAATGGGAAAACATAGTTGCAAGATCCATGTTTTGCTCGTTACCATACTTATAAACAATTTGGACGTTTCCAAATTCAGAGATCATAAGCCAGACACTAAATCTTAAACTCTAATCCTAGATCCTAAACTCTTAGGTAAATCATAATCACTGTGAGGGGTAAAACTCACTTCCTAGTTTAGGTTAGGTATAGATTGGGAAAAGATAATCGTGGACTGAATCCTGTTGGAACTTGTATGAATGAATACGTTGTTTATATTGATTTTGATGATAAAAGAGTTTACAAGGATGATCTTCACGATCTAATAGAAAGAACAATGATTGATAGAAAATGATTAAGAACAAAGTGTATTAGAGTCTTTTTCTCTTTAATGAATCGAATCCCCTCTCTCTGATCTCTTCTCTTCTTTATATAGCACTAGGTCACGTCCAACTTCTCCCGGCGAAGNTTATCTCCGTGAGTTGCGGGATTTGCAACAGCTTCCTCTTGACTAAGTCTTGTACGTTCTCCCGGAGCTGTTTCTCGTTAGCTGTTTGTAAACGAGGTCCCGAGTCTTTTGTTCGTGACCTGTTTTTATCGATAGGTAACGATTTCATTTGATTCTTGTTTGAGGGAAGGCTTTCTAATGGGCTCGTAATGCCTCATAATGGTTTCGACTATTCAGCCCATTAATTCAGCTAACGGGCTAAATTCGGGCCCAACAGTTGCCCCCAGCTTTCGAGATAAGATCTCTTTTCTCGGAAGCTACAGCGTAACCGCCTGACCTCTTGTTCCTCGAGATAATGATTACACTCGAAGATTCGCGTGACCTTAATTCTGCGGCCTGGATTTCGTTTGGTTATATCAATGGTAGGGATTAATATATTTTGAATAATTTCAATCCCGATTTTCGAGGCTGGACGTGATATAAAGCTGCGGTTATTAACTGCGCTGTTTCTCCACCACCCCACGTCTCGATTTGATTCCCCAGGTAACTGTTCACTTTCTTCTTTAATTTACTGTTGTTATATTTGTTCCAGTTAATACTTCTAGGAATCCATAGTCAAAAAAGTTTTCATCCGAACTTTTCTTCGATTTCTTTGCTTGTTTTTTTTTTGCTTTCTTCCGTTTTACTATCATGACGAAAGACAAGGAGGGTACCGGAGAAACTGAACTTCCTCCCTCCGGTGCTCAGCTTATGAAGGTTAAGCTGGAAATCGGTGAAAAGATGAAAAAGGGCGAAGCGAGCAAGAAGGGTAGGGACTCAATTGCTTTACGAGTCTCCAAGAGAACGAAGAAAAATGATGGCTCAGGTGGGAGCACCCCTTTCGGATCTCACGTGCCCTCTTTGCTGAGGAGCCAGGAGGTTGTTAATCTGATGGTTCAGGCTGTAGGCCAGAAAGATTTAGCCAAGGCCCGTAAACCCGACGAGACTCCGGAGACTGCTCCGGAAGGGTGGTTCTGTGTTCACGAGAAGTACATCACCAAGTGTCATCTCAGGTTCCCGCTTCCAGACCTCCTATTGGATCTTCTCGATCATTACCAGCTAGCTCTCTCTCAGCTTTGTCCCTCGGTTATTCGAGTCGTTAACGGTTTTATCACCAGAGCTAAAGAAGAAGGGGTTACCGTTGGCCTCCGCGATCTAATGAGCCTCTATACAATCAAAGAGAGTGCCTCAAAAGATGGTGGTAGCGGTACCTACTATTTACCTTGCCGACCCAAGCTGGGCCTCTTTAAGTTTTCCGGCAGTGATGATGACTGGAGGAAGAAATATTTTTACGTTAAGGTTGACCCTTTGACGGTCCCTGTGGGTCGTACCTTAAGGGTTTCTTGGTCCGATGCTTCTGGTTAGGGTCTTCTAGGAATGTCTTTGTGTGGTTTATTTCCCTTCTACATATCTCATTAACCGTTGATTCTTTTTGACAGATATCGAAGAACCTGACAAGCTTACTAACAAGCTTACCAGAGCTTTGTATCGTAAGTTGAAGCAGAGTCCTTGTACGTGGGGAGCTTTCACTACTTCACGCATAGGAGCAGCCAGGTTTCCTGAACGATACGGAGCCTCTTTTTTGGATCCTATCCCAGCTGCGGGTTTAGATAGTGAGTCGGTTCTATCTTTCTTTCCAAATGTAATGGCTTTACATTCAGAACCATTTGGTTTTGAACAAGTTTTTTTTTTTATTCAGTTTCCGAAGGTACCTCGGTCGTGTCTATTTCAACAGAAGCTAGTACTTCCGAGACCGAGAAGACCCAGCAAGCTAAGATGCCTCTTCAACCGTCTTACCGTTCCCGGGGCAAAGCCATTAAAGGTGCCAGCTCCTCTCGAGGAAGTGAAAAGAACCAAGGAGGATCCTTTCTCAATCAGGTGAGAGATGTTCTCGATGATGGAGCTTCCCTTGTGATCAAGGATGCCGCTGCTGTTGACGCCTCAAAGGCTCAGGAGGTTGCCCCCAAACCCGATGCGCAGACCAAGGAAACCGACCTTCAAGTGATCAAGGAGTCTTCCGAGATCGAGCCTCCCAGCCCTAAGAGATCCCGGGTTGACCAAGTGGACAGACCGTCTAGGTCTTCCTCTTCCTCTTCGAGAGGAGGGACCGTGGGGTGGAACTTTACCCACTCGAAACCCGGCTCTGTCCTGGAGGATTCTTGGGGTTTGGCCACTTTGATGAGGCATATGAAGAGGACTGGTTGTTCTCTTCCTGCGATTAACAATATGACTAACCGAGAGGAGTACGTGGAGGTCGCTCATTACATGGGTCAGGTGAGAGATCTCAAAAATTATTTTGTCTGTTCCTTTCAGTGAAATTGTTGACTGAAAGCCGGTTTGTTTCATTTTCAGCTAGCTGGGGCCATCAACCGAGTCCAATTGAGTTTGGAGGACACGATCAACAACGCTCCCCGAGCAGGGGAATTAGCTCAGGTGACTGAAATGGTGAAGGCTACTAAAGAGGAGCTCGACCAATCTCGAGCTAAGGTTGCTGAGCTCGAGAGTGTGGTAGAAAGGCTTGGCTCGAAGGCCGATATTCAGGCTGGGAAGATCGAGAGTCAAGTTATTGACCTCCAAGTGAAGGGAAGAAGGATAGCCGTTGGATATGAACTGCGATCCGTTATCGGTTACGATTTCGTATGGGACACCGTGGCGACAAATGATGTCTCTCCATACGAGTCGTTCGGTTTCAACTTTAGTTACCTGTTGGAAAGCCTCAGCTTCTATCCATTTCGTGAAGTAGTCTGTTAGGACTAGTAGGAATCGTAGCTTTTGCCTTCCTGTTCCAGATACGACTAGTGGTCCTACGATATCCATGGACCATCTCATGAATGGGTATGGGGCGGATATCGAGGACAATTTCTCTGATGGCTGATGTATAAAAGGTGCGTGTCTCTGGCACCTGTCGCATTAGGACGAGTAGGTCTCGCAATCAGCGATAATGGTAGGCCAGAAATAGCCTTGCCTTTTGATTCGGATAGCTAAAGCTCTGCCACCGGAATGGTTTCCGCAGGAGCCGTCGTGCATTTCTTTCATGAGTTTGATGGCGTCGAGGCCGTGGACGCATCTTAGGTAAGGTCCCGATACGCTTCGTTTGTAAAGGATAGATTCNTTGATTCGGATAGCTAAAGCTCTGCCACCGGAATGGTTTCCGCAGGAGCCGTCGTGCATTTCTTTCATGAGTTTGATGGCGTCGAGGCCGTGGACGCATCTTAGGTAAGGTCCCGATACGCTTCGTTTGTAAAGGATAGATTCCATTATGCAGTATCTTGCGCTTATTGCTTTAAGTTTTCGAGCTTCCCATTTATGGGAGGGGACCTTGCCCTCCGAAATATACTGCATGATTGGAATCCTCCAATCCTCTCTTCCTATGATTTTGTCGTGGAGGGAGGAGGGAGGTCCCGATGCTGGATCGGGCTCTCGGTTATTGTTGCGTCCGGAGGCTGTTCTTCTGGGGATGTTCCTTCTGTTAGGTTTGTCGGAACCTAGATCTGGAGGGACGTCCCCAGGTGTGTTATTTATTTCCGGGGCTGGGATTG